GTGTTGAGTATTGCTAGTATTCGCAACGTCGGATGTCATGGGGCGTGTGGGGGGTAGCGGCTTCCGAGATTTCCGGCGGGCGTTTCCCTTATTTCGGATCCGTTGTGTTTGGGTTGGGCATTGGCTCTCCTACCTGCAGACCGACCATCCCCAGCTAAACCTGAGCCTAGGCAGAGACCCGTACAGTCTTTTTTGGTCTGCGGGGCGAGAGCGAACCTCTTCCGGTTAAAAGCTAGGCGGGCTACGCACAGCTCGAATTGGGGAGACAGAGCACAGGCGGGCGGGGCCTCAGGCGGCCGGAGGGCGGGCCGGGGTGCAGGCGGTGCCGAGGAGCTTGCACAGGAAAAGGAACGCCTTGGACCCAGAGACCCATACAGTCAGCAGCAACTCACGAGCTTCCGTGCCCCGCACGGGGTACAAAGCCTGTCAGCACCTGAGCTGGTCTAGTGCACGTCAATCCACACCGCACGACATTGCAGGGTGCCGCCACCGCGGCCGAAGCCCCGCCCCAGCCAGAGGCCCCCAAGGGCACCCTCGCCCAGACGCGGGCCTTGGCATCGCTCGGACGTGTGCATGTTTCCTTCGGCGAGGACCATCGAGGTGCATCCTTGAGATCATTTGGCGAAAAAGCACGCATGAATCCGAACAAAAACACCGGGAATGGACGTCCGAGCGATGCCCAGGGGCAGCAGTGCAACAGAGGGCGCACCCGCCGCGCGGCGGGGGGCGCAGACCGACAGCTCCACAGCCCGCGCGCCCCGCCCAACCCAGGAGGCTGGCAGAGCCGCGCCGTCGCCCCCCAGGGCAGGGGGCCCCCGTGTCGGAGGCGGCGCCTGACGCCGAGGCCGCAGGCCAAGACCCCCAGCCAAGCCTGAACAAGGAGCCCCCGCGCGGGCGACCATGTCCAGGCAGCGGCCAGCAGCACGGGCCCAGAGCACGCTGAGCAGACGACCGCTCAGCCTCCACAGCACGAGCGGGTCGCGGAGGACAGCGCCACAATTGAGGCGGGGACTGGTGGACCCAACCCCGACAACCGCCGCACCAGCAGCGCAGTGACACGGCGGGTCGCAGCAACCGAGCCCGGAGACGGGCGTACGCGTAAGTCGCCTAGGACTGCCGAGCGAGGGTAAAATCGCCAACCCCAGCACGCATGGTCGGAACGCGCCCCCCCCCCCCCCCCATTCCTATCCCCCCCTACCGCTTCCGAGGAGGAGGAGGAGGAGGAGGAGCAGGAGGGAGGAGGGGAGGAAGGGAGGAGGGAGGAAGGGAGGAAGGGGAGGGAAGGGAGGAAGGAGGAAGGGAGGAAGGGAGGAAGGGAGGAGGAGGAGGAGGAGGAGGGAGGAGGAGGAGCAGGAGGGAGGAGGAGGAGCAGGAGGGAGGAGGAGGAGGAGGAGGAGGAGGAGGAGGAGGAGGAGGAGGAGGAGGAGGAGGGAGGAGGGGGAGGGGGAGGAGGAGCCTCCTCCTCGACCGCCGGCCCGGCTCGCGCCGACCTGGAGAGGCGCACGACCGGCGCAGGGCTCCGCGGGCCGATCTCCTGGCAGCGCCCGCCACGAAGGCCCCGGCGACACGCTGTTCAAGCAGTGGCGAAGCGTCCTGGTTCGCTTATAGCCCTACCAAACAATGTTCTAAGAACCTTTTGTGGTTTCCACGAGATGTTCTCAGAACATTTCTAGCGGAGTCTGTCCTGTTTGAACACATCGGTCTTGTGTTCTAAGAGCACTGTTTTTGTTATGGGAACATTTTTGGGTTCTAAGAGCATTTCGTGGTAGGTCTACAGGAATGCTGGGACGGTCGGTCCCTGCTCAAGCTATACACCTGGCCCCGACGGATGATCACCTTTTACCGCGCGTGGAATCACAGTGCCAGCACCCACGAGACCTGGCCTGAAGTCGTCAAGAGGCTAAGGCCGGACTGCGGCGCGCTCTTCGTCGACGATGGGAACGCTCTCGACGACGCCAGAGGCAGCCGGGCATCAGGGAGAGGTACCTACAACCCCGAGGAGCACGACGCCTTTTGCGAGGAACGACCTGTATCGCGAATACTTCGACATCCGCAGGGTCTGCAGGATACGGGGGGTCCAGATGGGTCTGGAGGTTGTCTGGGAACGCCAGTTGCAGCGCAACGAACAGCAGCGAGACAAAGGCAAGGGCCAGGGAAGGGCCACGGCTCGGTCGAGAAAGGCAAGAGACGCGCCGACCCCACCTGGCCCGACAACAAGCAGTCGAGGCAGCGCCGTCCTGACCCGACAGGCCTACCCGGCCTCTGAGGCCTTGGCACCGCGGCCGCCCCAGGACAGCCAACACTGCTCGCCCACCACCAGTCTACCCATGCTGCCCCCCCAGAGCGGCAGGTCCACCAGCCGGGGATCCAACCTGGCCGCCGCCGCCTTTGCTCAGCTCAGACCCCCCTCCCCAGGCCAGTACGTGGCCTGTGGCCACAGTCCTTGTGGCCCCTGCGCATCCAAGCTGCCATGTATCTGCGCACGCTGACCCGCAGCGCAGCGTCCACCCAGACAGCGCGGGGCACCCAGTCGTATCTGTTTTCGCTTTCAGACCGCCCGCCGAACCATCCAGACGCCCCTAGACACCACGTGCCGTCCACCCCGGCGGCGCGCGACGAAGACCGTTTCAGCTGAGACCTGTCACGCAGGATTTTGCACCTGTTAGGTGCGGTCGGCCGCATACTGTCCACCCCGGCAGCGCCCGGCTCTCTTCGGCTCCGGCCGCCGCTCATTCACAAAAGTCTGCACCGGTTAGGTGTCTCTATAGGCCTCCCACGCACTGTCCACCCTGGCAGCGCGTGGCCCCACGGCAGCCCGGGCGCCCGCTGGCGCCGGCGCCCAGGCTGCCGCCCCGCTTACGCGGACCTGCCTACAGCGGGGCGCTCCTCCTCCCTGCCCTCTCCCTGCCCGCCCCCTTGCCTTGTCCTCCCCGCCCTCTGCGCGCCGCCAGGGCGCTCCCGCTGCTGCCGCAGCGGGCAGCTCCCCCCGCATGCAGTGCTGGGCCTGGCCTTGCCGCCCGCACCCGCCTCACGGGCTCAGCACTTTGCTGGTGGCAGTCTGGAACCGAGACTGCTCGGGGACTTGCCGTACCCTGTCAACCAGCCGCCCACCTGGGCGGCCACGCGGCGCTTTTCCTGACGTGCAAGTACTCGTCCTTTTTCACCGACGGCATCCCTGCAGTACTTGCCTCCACGTACTGGGCCCCGTCATCGCCCGTGGGTGCCCTGGCGTTGCGGCCTGGCCGCGGCCATGGTCCCCGCTGACGGGGCCGGCCGCGCCAGCATACTCAGGTCGGAAGTCTTCCGCCTCTGAGTGCCCCCACCTCTTCCCTTCCCGCGGCCGCCCTGTCCGTCCTCGTCCTTCTCCTGCACGCTGGCCAATTCGCTTTTCAGTGCCCCAGTTTAGCTTTATCGTTGGTGCAGCCATTCTGCCTTGCCGCCGCCCAAAAAGTGTTTGGATTAATTGTCCGACTTGCGAATTGTGTCGGACATGCATTTCACAAAATGCGGACAAGTAGGGCAGAAATTCCCGCCTCAGGAAAAGCGGGGCGAATATTTCCGCAAAGAGACGGCAGAAACAGCGACGGCAAGTAGGGCGGAATCCGGCACCCAATGAATCCGAAAAGTAGGGCGCGAAGTCCAGCCTTGCTGATAAACTCGCCGACAGCACGGCGGATTTGGAGTCAGGCTTGTCCTCGGTTTGGGCATTAGGGCTTCGGCACCATGCACCAGGACCATCAGAACTATATCCGGGGACGAAGAACCCTCCCCACGGAAGAGATCGGCAACTCTGACGCCACGCACTGGATAAAAAACAAAAAACCAAAATCACAAAAGAAACAAACAAACAATCGTCGATCTGCTCTTCTGAGGCGGCGGGCGGGCGTCCAGGGGAGCAGGCGGCCTTCCCGGAAGCCCCCTCCCGTGTTTTCTCCGAAGTGCCTCGCGAGGAAGTGCCCAGCTGGCGCCCTTGAACAGGCCAGCTGGCTTCCGAGAAGCCCCCCGCCTTCTGACAAGGCCGCACCCCTTTGTGTCACCGCCGCCGCTGATATCCGACGATCCGATTTTTCCCCATGCTCGGCCCCAGAGGTCCCGCCCCGTGCTCCAGGGCCCGATGAGACCGGGGCCGAGGGCCCGAGATCTATTGTAGGAAAATCGCCGGGTTGACACTGTCATATCGTCGGAAGACGAGGAGGAGGAGGAGGAGGAGGAAGAGGAGGAGGAGGAGGAGGAGGAGGAGGAGGAAGAGTGGGAGGGGGAGGGGGAGGAGGAGGAGGAGCAGGAGCAGGAGCAGGAGGAGGAGGATGAGGAGGAGAGATCTGGGTTCGCTGTCGCCCTCGTCGCCGCCGCCGCCCCCCGGCGGCAGGCTCTGGAGCTTCCTGCGCGTGCGCTGCGGGCGCGGGGCCGGGGGCCCCGGGTTGTGGAGCGGCGGCCGCATCTACAGCCGGCTGGTCCGCGGCGCCTCGCCGTCCGCCGTCGCTGGCGTCGCTGCCTTGGCCGTCGTCGTCGCCGTCGCCGTCGTCGTCGTCGTCGTCGTCGTCGTCGTCGTCGCCAGTGTCGGGGTCGTCGTCGTGGTCGCGGTCGTGGCGGACGCCGTCGTCCGTCGCCGCCGGCGTCGGAGGAGGGGCATGGGGAGAAGGGAGGACGGGGAACGGGGGGGGGGAGACAGGAGCGAGACGGGAGGGGGGAAGAGGGAGGAGGAGGAGGAGGAGGAGGAGGAGGAGGAGGAGAAGGAGGAGTAGTAGAGGACGAGGAGGGGGAGGGGGAGAATACGTAGGAGGAGGAGGAGGAGGAGGAGGAGGAGGAGAATACGCGAAGGAGGAGGGGCGAATGAGGAGGACGAGGACGAGGAATACAAGTTGGGAGAAGGGGCGGGAGGAGGAGGAGGAGGAGGAGGAGGAGGAGGAGGAGGAGAAGGAGGAGAGGGGATGAGGGGAGGAGAAGGAGAGGCGAGCATGAGTTTAAAAGCGATGATCGAGGAGGGAGCAGATGATGGTGAT